TCTGACTTGTAGCACATAACCTGTGTCCCATTCTGGTTGCATCTTATGTGGCTTACATTTCATTCATTTTGTACAGTGCATTTTAGGGAATCATCAGTTATTGAGCCTGTTTCTGGTCTTACCTTTGATCATTTCAGAGAGTTCTCCTGTTCCGAAACATGGTTACCAAGGAGAAGGAGAAACTGGGGCTTGTGGAAACCAGCTCTGCCTCCCCTCATGTCACTCACATTACCATCCGACGGTCCCGGATGTTGGAGGTGAGAAGCCCACAAAGAAGTGTGCTCTGTGAAATGTAGGAGTTTTAGGGGATGATCTACTGCCTCTGAACTGTTCTTGTCATTCCTTGATCTAATGACCATGAAATCAAGGCTCTGGGAGCAGGAAAGTGGCCGTTTGTCTTATTTCCTTCTCTGAGAGCTGCTTGATTAGACGTGTCCTCAGCGCTAAAGACCTGCAGTGCAATATTTCTTTTTCTTTTCCCCACAAGGTCCCCTGGGATAGAGCATCAAACACTTCATGCCTCTTCGAAATGAGGACAAGACGTGCCCCGTGCAGACATTTTCATGTCTGTGCAAACACCATTTGTCCCGGCAGATACTTTGCCCAGATTCCCAGCTGTGGATATGGAGGCTGGAGTGTAGGTGTTAAGTTTACTGAGCAATTCTGGGAAATACATTTATCCCAGAGCTAGAAGTTCTTTGTAGACATAAACCTATGCATACGAAGCAAGTGGCCCACCTTAGCCAAAGCCAGTGACCAGGGTTACTATTACCACAATGTGGCAGCTTTATGTGCTTTAGAAATAGGTGCCTGTCCTCAGAATGCTTTACCTCCATATGTCAGAAAATTGTTACAATATATTGATTTTGTTGGAACATTGTTGTAAATGTATACACCTGCGATGTCTGCGTTGTGCATGCCACACCTTCCCCCAGGGTTGTGCAGTGCACAGCCTGCCTGCATGTGCTGGTCCTGCCAGTGGTGGAATCAGTGACTGAGCCCCAAGTAACCATTCCTAGGAGAGGCCTGGCCTGATTTATTTGCCCATGCTTGCTCTTTACCCCTTTCTCACACTCTAGCCACAGTTCCTCATTAGCAGGTTGTGCCGTGTAGGACAGTCATGGGATCCCGGGACAGCACATGGCCTCATAGCCAGCGACCAGCAGATGGCAGTGGCTGCAGCCCTTCCTCCCTGCATGTTTTCATTTTCTCCCTTGGGGCATTCACACTCCTTCCTGGAGAGCTTGTTTTAGTTCCTCTGACCACTGGTGATTGACACTGAGGTCTGCCAGGGAGGGAGCATGTGGTAAACAGGTAATATTTTTGACATCGTTAAAAGTAGGGATAAGAAATATAAGTGCCCACAGGGACCCTGCAGGTCATGGTAATGAGGAAAGCTGGCTGAATGTGTCTTGGCACAGAAACATCTTGTTTGCATGCTAAACAAATAGAAATATTCTTCACTTCCACTGCTCTCTCCCACTTTTGAAACATAGCCCTCAGTCAAGGTAACTCAAGAGAAATAACCCCACAAATGAATTGATAAATGACAATTAACATCCAGTCTTAGTGCTGGGGAGCAGTAGAGTGGGCAGGTGGAGAACACATGCCCCAATGAAACACTCAGCCCTACCTGACTCTTTATCGCTATGTGGGGATTTGGGCTCCATGCTGCTTTTGTTTTTTAAGAGAGGGCCAAAATTCAGGGTTTTGCGTGAAATCTCCAGATCTTTTATCTTGGGAACTAATGAAATTTTGTAAAGTACCTGGAAGGTAAATAACCCATCTTCCCACCAAATTCAACCTATGGGCCACCACTTTACAACCTCTGCTTTGACTCAAAGCAGAAAAAAACCGATTGTGTTGGAGAAATTCCCTTCTCTAACACTTTCCCCAATGCACTTCTATCTCTTAATGTCCTCCATCCTGCCACCTGTCATGCCCCCTCCGATGTGGCCACTGCCCACAGGAACTCTGGGGCAGTAGGGACTGCTGCCTCCCTAGAGTGATGGAGTTCCCGACTCCCACTTCACTCATTGTCGACATCCTGGTTTCCCAAGCCTGCTTTTCCAGACACATCACTCAGGGATGTCAAAGGGTCGATATTTGTCCGAGGTTGTCAGCAAGTCTGTTTTCCTCTTTATGTCCCATTAGAAATATCTTGTCATGAAATTAGGCTCTGGTAGTCCTAGTGAATTAGGAAGGGGAGAGGGTCATTTATTCAGTTACCACAGCGTTTAAGATCTGGCGGTTTGATTATTAGAACGTGAAAGCCCAGTGGCCTTTACTTAGTTTGGACACCAGGGGGCATCATAAGCTGATATTAAACTCACGGGATATCCAAGCCTTTTTTTTGTTTCCTTTTTTGTGGTTTGTATTGAAGGAGATGCTTCTGTATTAGGCATGCAGGTGTTAGTCCTGCAGGAAGGCTTCTCCTCACAGAGCATGAGCTGGGACTGGAACTCTAGCATTTCAGAACTGGAAGGAATCTTTGACATACTTTCCCCTTGCCTTGTCAGTGGCAGAATTGAGGCCAAAGAAATTCAGATTCTCAGTCAGGGTCGCTCGATATCCGACCTTGAAGTCATCAAAAAACAAAGCCAGATTTCCTGCCCCCCGGTCAGGATTCTGCATCTGTTTGTTGAGATGCTGCAGAGAAGAGGAACGCCTTATTCCTACTCACTTTCCTAAGGGGCACAGATCTAATCCTCAGGTAACAACACCAGTGCCCAGGATGCAGTGACAGGAAATATGTCAGAGGAGGCAGGGTGCAAATTCCTCTCTACAGCTTTTCAAAGAGGAAGCTAATGTGGGATGTCGATCAAGCCAAATTGAGATTTGAGTCCAGCAAATACTCCTTGGGCACCCGCTGTGTGCTTGGCCTCGTGCTAAGTGCTTTCACATATACCTTCTCGTTGAATCTGCATGGCCCAGACACCTGCTAACATGTATTGTTTAGGGAGGCAACATTTTTTAACATTTTAAGGTAGAATGGAGGAAATCCTGCAGACAAGCAGGAACACGTTGTATTCTCCAGTGGTCCCTGATTCAGTGCCAAGATAATTATCTTAAATTTAGGCAGAATGGTTTAAATGAAATGCTGCAGCAGCTGCATGGTGACTTCCTGTTTCTCCAACTAACTTAATGGTTCTCAAACTTTATGTGCATAAAAGTACTTTTCAGGATTGAGCACTCAAAATTGTATTCCTTTTCCTTAAGATGACCTAGGGGACTTTAGAGATAATTTTTTCCGTGCTCATTAACTTTGGAGCATAAGCCTGAATAAGATTGGGAACCACCAGAGGACAGTCCTTTGGCTTACTAGGTGAGCACAAGGCAAATGTGATTGACAGGAAGGCAGCAAGGGTTCCCCAAAATGGATCTTACCAGACTAGCCTCATTTGCTTTGTGACAAGGGACCAGAGTGCAGATGAGTGGATGCTACAGAGATGGTCTTTTTCAGCAAAATGTCAGAGCACTACACTTGTGACTGAGAGGGAGAAATGAAGGGTGGTCTGAGTAGGATGTTGTAGTTGATTTGCAACTTGTTATGCGACACTATATAAAGACATAGGTTTCACCATGGTGAATGTCCTCATGTTGTGCCAAGGACTCCTCTGTGGGTCCTGTCCTGTCCAGCACTGTTTTATAATTACTGAAATGAAAACCTAAGCGGCTTGCTTCTCAGTGTTCGCATGCCCAAAGTATATTAGATGACAGAATCAGGAGCCAGGAAAACCTCAACAGATTAGAATTAAGAGACAAACTAAATAAGACCATTTAGCAGAACTCTGAAGTTGTATCTCAGAGTTCTGGATAGGGGAGATATGTGCTGAATGACTATGTGTCTTGAGAGAACTGAATATAAGCCAGAAGTGAGCTGAGGTTTCTCCTCTCCGCTCCTGCCTTCATCCAGGCCCAGCATCACTCCTGTGCCCCATCCCCTCTGCTTTCTGCCTTGTCCCCTGCCATCCATCTGCTCTGCTGCTAGCAGAAATCCAGCCATGTTGCTCCTTGCCTAAACTCTTCTGTGGCTCCCGGTCGCCTGTGGGATATAATTTAAATTTCTTAGCATGAATCACAAGGCCTTTCATGATCTGGGGGAAGGTACCAGGGATTGAGGGTGGAGGTTATTTTTTATTTTTCATCTTCTAGTGGTCTGTAAGTTTCATTGATTGATTTTTACCATGAGCTAAAAGATACTCAGTGTTAAAATAGAAAGAGTGGGATCTTGTCCAGGTTTCTTCAATCTTTTGTCTGCTGGCCGAGAGCTTGTCGTGACTCATCTTGTCTAATTTCCTGTCTTGCTGCTCTGTATCCTCTTGAGGGCAGTCTCCCCTTGCCAAAGAGTGGTAAAATTCACATTACCAAAAATAAATTTTCTTTTTAACAGGCTCTCATGTAAATGCAGGTGAGAATTGCTCTTTTCATGCACCCATGCATCTTGACTTACATGTTTATTACACTGGGAAAGCTTCACACAGGGGAGAAGGAGCCTCAAGGAGGGAGCCCTGAGTCATGCAGAAGGCCTTGGGTTCCTAATGGGCTGTAATTCTGCCCTTGGCAGGACGGCTACGAGCAGCTTCGGCAGCTCTCCCAGCACGCCATGAAGGGTGTGATCCGCGTGAAGTTTGTTAATGACTTTGGAGTGGACGAGGCCGGGATTGATCAAGATGGTGTTTTTAAGGAGTTCTTGGAAGAGATCATCAAGAGAGTATTTGACCCGGCACTCAATCTGTTCAAGGTATTTAAGGGGGGTGAGCATGGGGTCGACAATAGCCCATTTCAAGATGACAAATGAAAAACGAAGGACTGGGCTTGCTCGTTACAAGGCTTTTAACCTCTGCCACTATCCATCTTTTGCAGACAACCAGTGGGGACGAGAGACTCTACCCTTCGCCCACATCTTATATTCATGAGAATTACCTGCAGCTCTTCGAGTTTGTGGGCAAGATGCTGGGAAAGGCTGTATATGAGGTAGGCATGTTGAGGAGCATTGAACTGGAATGGAGAATAAAATATGAGAAGTACCATTTGTGTGGTACTTTGTATCCATTTATGTGATCAGGCCCAGCCATGTAAACTACCTGTCATTAGAATAAAGTCAAGGAAAGAGAGTCAGGAACTAAGATTACTGTACAAAAATACTTGGTGCTTTCTGTGTGTTATTTCATTTAATCTTAGCAGTCCTGTGGCATGGCTGCAGCTGCCCTGTTTACATAAGGATGTAACTGAGAACTGAGGCTTCGAGAAGTCTCTTAACAAGAGTCTCATCACCAGTTAAGCAATAGAATCCAAATTTGAACCCAAGCCAGCCTGAGTCCCAAACCAGACCTCTGCTTCCTTGAGAGGTGAGGCGTAGTGTGCCAGAACCAGGGCTTCACATGGAGCTTGGGCCAGGTTGTAGGAGGGCCGCATTTTGTGGGGTTTGATAGTTGTTACAATTGTTTTAATATCTTTTGTTATTTGAGTGCTTCAAAGTGAGCCAGAGGTACCTGGGAGATGTCTACGGACTAGAACATGAAGGTAGGGTATAGCCCATAGCAACTAATCAAGACTAGTGTTCCCTGGCCAGCTGTGTGACTGCGTGCAAGTCACTTTCCTTCTTTAGGTCTCTTCTTTAGGTTCTCATCAGTAAAGTAGGGATAATACAGGCTATGTGATTGGGTTACTGTAGACGATAAACGAGGAAACACGAGTTAAACACCTTCTGTGATGCCTGGCACCTGGTCGCAAAGGAAGTAGAGCTGCCATCCTCACCGTTATTAAGAGTAAAGGTGTCTGAACTTCCTCTTCTCAGTCTCCTGGAGTCAGGGCGTGTGGACTTCTGCAGGCTTTGTAAGGCCCACACAGCTCCCAATCCCTCTCCACTGAGAGCTCAACTGGCAGAATGCCCTCCTGGTGGCATGTGATCCCCTGCACCCTGAGAGTCCTGCTCCTCAGGAAGGAAGTAAATCTGCAACACGAGCTTGTCAGTAGCCAGTCTTCATGGCCTTCACAGTGGGCTCCAGAGCAGCAGGGGACCTCCCCCAGAGCCCAGGTTCTGCCAAGCTCCTCACCTAGGTAGCGAGGAAGTGAACCACCTGAGCAGCACTCATCTCACACACTGTCACAAACCCTGGAGAAGCCAAGATGCCTTCCAAAGGCAACGAGCCAGAAGCCAAGGCAAGTGGAAGGAAGGAGGCACTGTGGGGCAAACATCCTTTGACCCTTAGGTAATCCATCATTCTCTCGGTGTACACAGCCTCTGTCCATGGCCTCAGTCCCTGACCAAGATGAAGTCAGGGGCCTCATCTGAGTCTCTGCCCAGACACCCTCCAGTCCTGCTTTTGGACTGATTGAGTAGCCTGGGCTCATTCTTTGTGCTTGCTTTAACGTCTACAAAATGGAGACAATTTCTCTGTTGATTTCCATTTAAAAAAAAAAAAAAAAATCCCACAAGGGCCTACCTGGGCACATGCCATGTTTTTCCTTTAAACGTGTAGCTGTGATGAGATCAAGATGAGTCTGGGCCATCTGAAAAGCATGACTTCCTAGCTTTTGTGAATGTCCTCCCCCATTTCCTGGGCCACATCTCTGTCTCCTTCCTCTCTAATAATAGTGCAGATGAAAGAAATTAGGACACAGTGGGCCTGTGTGAGAAGCAGCACTTATTAACTCATGTAACCCTCATCCTCTGCGACAAGCCATCATTGAGTTTGATTGACTCTATCTTAATCTTTCCAATCCACATACCTCTCTCCATCCTTTCAGCTCTACCTTTCTACTACAACCTGTTGGCAGTTCTCCCTGGCGTTATGCAGTTCTTCCTGGCTGTGCTGTATCTCTGCCTCCTGTCTTCCTTTCTTCCTCTTCTAGTTTATTCTCTACATAAAGTACAAATGTGGCACTTCCCCGCTTTGAGCCCTCCCAGCACTGTCCACTGCCCTCAGGATAGGATCCAGACTCCAGGCGGCTTATGAGGCCCTTTCTGATCTGGCCCTGCCTACCTTTCTGGCCTCATTGTTCACCTCTCTTCCAGTCTCACTCTGTGCTATGGCCAGACAGATCTGTATTCTGTCCTGGGAGCATGCCTGTGGGGCTCATACTAAAGGCCTTGTGTTCCTTTAGATGTAGTTTAGATGTCTCTTCTTCCTGGAAATTTCCCCCACCCTGCCTCTGGTGAGGGGCTGTCCTCCATGCTCCTCCACCCCCTGCTCCTTTAATTCTTATTACTGAGAGGCTGTGCTGTTCCTCATGTATAGGTGGGAAAGCTGAGGCCCTGTGGCTTGACAGCAGCAGAGCTGGGATTTGATCTCTGAACTGTGCAATTAGAGTATAAGCTCCAAAGCTGATTTCCTTGACCACTATGCTCTGAGTCCCCAGGTGGTACTCGATTGTTTAAGTGATGGGGAGATACTGTTATTCAGATTGAAAATTAGAAAGTGCCTAGAGGTGCCATTGGTGCCATGCGGGGGCGGGGGGAGGGTGGTGGGGGGGAGCGGCAGTGTGTTCCTTTGCATCCTGAGCTACCCCTGATGAGATCACTGAGAACGAATCCTGGACCATCGGATGGCAAGCTTTTCTCTCTCCTCTTTCCCAGGGAATTGTGGTAGACGTGCCCTTTGCATCCTTCTTCCTGAGCCAGCTGCTCGGGCACCACCACAGTATCTTCTACAGCTCTGTAGATGAACTACCTTCTCTGGACTCCGAGTTCTATAAAAACCTCACTTCCATTAAGGTCAGTGTGGAAAGGCAGGAGGGCTTGGCTGAGCTAGCAAGAGCTCACTGAGGAGTGAAGCCCAGCAGAGTGTGGTGTAACGAGATGTGCTGCGATAAAGAGGCCCGTCCTGTAGCCACCGCAGGTCCCCATGTGCCCTCAGGGCACTGCTTGCTCAGCACTGATGCCCGCAGCCTCCTTGCTTGGGGTAATGAGTGGCCTCCTCCTTTGCTTCAGGCTGTACAGCAGCCACAGCAGTTACTGGCCAAGCCGACCTCATAGGACAGGAGTGTTACATTCTTCAAGGATATAGCCCTCTTTGGTCCCAACACGTTCCCCTTCTCTGTTGTATTAGCGCTATGATGGGGACATCGCTGACCTGGGCCTGACGCTGTCGTACGATGAGGACGTCATGGGTCAGGTAGGTTGGCCACTGTGGCCGAGCTCTCCTTCCTCTCCCTCTTACTCTTCGTGCCCTACTCTACCTGCCCTACTCTTCATGCTTTCCCCAGGAGGTCCATAAACCTGGAGGGTCTGCCTGCCTGGCCTCTCTTCCCTCCATCTCTCGCCCATCCCCCTTCTGCCGCCTTGCCAGAAGGGAGGATGTGCCCCCTTCCATTCCCGGTTGACCTGGCCTTTGCCTGCCTGCCCACCACTTTGCTGAAATCGCATTCTAGATCATTCCCGATGGAAGCCATAACACCCTGTTTATAACATTGCTTTTTGTTACCATGGTGAGGATTAGCTGTCACACATGGAGGATTGTGACTTAGGGGGAAGAAGCCACTGAGAAGTGGCTCTACAGAATTCTGTCTTTGTTCGGACTCACCATAAGATCAGAGCACAAAGAAAAGTCTTGAAATCATGGCAGCAGAGATTGTTTCCTCCTTGAGTTTTTCCTTTTGGCTTTTCTTCTAGTTTTGTCCCAGTGGACACCTGCATTATCCTCTCTGTGCGTGTGGTCTGAGGGCTCTCTGGAGAAACCATGCCATGAGCTCAGGAGTACAGGGCTGGCTTAGAGCCCTGCCTGTGTCTCTTCAGGTTACTCGGTCTACCCAAGCCACAGTTTCCTTTCTCAAAGTACCATTTGCTGAATGTGAGTCTTCTGGGACCAGTGGCACTGGACGCTCTGCATGCCCTAACCCCCTCTTGAAAGGCTACCAAGCACGCCAGCATGTTAGGGTTCTGAGAAGACTGTGAGAAGGAAACCTGGAATAGTTATGTTAACCGCAAATTTCCTCAACTCATTTGATCACAGACCTCCTCTTTCAGAGAAAGAGAGAATGCCATCTCACAGCGTGAATGATTCTCTATGTAATAGCTCATGGGAAACACTAAGCTGGGTGATTCTAAGGGCCCTTCTAGCTTTAAAATCCTCTGGTGTGCCCCAAGATGTAGACAGCAGTGGGACTATAGGTCACTGTTTTTCAAACTTTCTACGTCTTTAGAGTTGTAATAATAGGATTTCTATTAAAATTAGCTTTAAAATTATGTATTCTTTGATATTTAAGTGACCCACCAAAGTTCTTCAAGTCAAGGAAAGCAGTTGATTCTATAGTTTTCCAATAAATCGTTAATCAAATTTTGAGTCTTCCTCCCGACATTCTTAATTTTCTCTCCTGACTCTAAAAATAATGCAAACTTCTAACCGAATATTCAGCTATAATATGAGCATAAAGATGAAAATGAAAACCACATATAATGCTGGTGACTGTTAATGTGTGGCCTGTGTCCTTTCAGATTTTTCTCTCCGGGCACGCATATAATTTTTTTGCAGAAACGATACCATATCATGCATACTTTCCCCCCACTTTTCAATAATAAAAATTTTCATATTTTTTTAATAGTCGCACAGTATTCCAGAGTATGATTGCAACAACATTTATTTAACCATCTGATCATACTCTTAAATGCTAACACATTTCCCTCCACAGCATCCCGAAGCCTTAATACAAATGTTTGAACAAGGATTGGATAAGAAGGAACCTTTTATATTGATCATGCAGGGTCTGCTTGCTGATAATTAAGCCCTGGCTTTTTGTGAAAGTGATTGTTCTCAAACGTGTCCCATCTTAATTCTGTCATTATTGTGGACGTTGGCTTTGGGCCCTTTTATCTTCTGGAAGCTTTGTTCTCCCACTAGAATTCTCTCTAGTAATTGCTCTCCATCTTCTACCCCAGCTTGTTTGCCATGAACTGATTCCTGGAGGGAAGACTATTCCTGTTACAAATGAAAATAAGTGAGTATAGCAATTCAATTTTTAAGGTCATCACTTGAAAAGACTTCATTCTGGCTCTCTGGGCTTACTTTGAGAATTTATTAAGATAGATTGAAGTAGAAAGAAGCCATAAATATCATAATGGAATTTACTGGTTACAGTTCATAGGCCGAAATCGTATTAAATTAGATTTGCAAAATAAGAATTGACAATTTATTTTTTGCAGTGGCACTTCTAAGGTCAGAGGCACCCAGGCCCTGGTGTTCTTAGGATTTTAATGACGGCTCTAGATGCAGACAGATGGATTCTGAGCCATTCAGGCATGCAGTACTGAACCCAGAGGGCACAGAGGCAGAAAGACACCTTGGAGGGGCAGATCATTTTGGAATGATAGCATGTGGCAGTTGTATAAAACATGCTCTTGAGAACACACAATGACAAATTCAAATGCAGCAGACAGGTTCTTAGAAGTGAGAAGATTCTGAGGCCTGGTATCTATTGTCACAGATAACAGGCTTTTAGAAATCTATCATAAATGTCAAACTCCGGCCCCTGGAAGCAAAACCCCTCAATGCACCGTCTTCACTCAGCCCTGTTCTCACCTAATTAAAACAGTAAAACCTGGCATGAGGAGTAGATATTGGCCCTTTTGTCATTCTATCAATCTTCTCCTGCCGCCAGGCTCAGCTGAGCATCTGAACTGTTAATCTGAGTGTCACTCTTCAATGACAAGTGAGAGCTCAGTCCTACCTGGTGAGTCATTCGGATCAGATGCACATTACAGCCCCGTGTTCCCAAGCATCATGTCCCTCTTGGGTTGGGTCGTTTAATCAGTCTGCATCCTTGGAAGCTTTTATTCAGACTCTGAATAGTCAGAAGAACAGACTTGATTCTCATCATGATTGAAATAAACCAGTTTGACTCTTGGCCATGGAATGTTAGTTCGACAGCTGAGAAAGAACAGAGAACACAGGTTGGGAGGAACTACCTTGGGGGATCAGAGAGCAAGAGTGGATCCTGTTCCTGCCCTACCAGATGCCCTCTAACCATCCCTTCTGAGGGCTTCACAGGAGTTAAAACTTATAAAATATTTTCCAGGATGTCTAGCTCAAAGCAGAGCCTTAATAAATGAGAGCAGTGATCGTCACCATCACTGGATATGTGATATGTCACATACAGCCTGCCACCCTTAGATTGGTGGTCTTTTTTGCAAGGCATGATGGCACAGGGGTGATGGTAGGATGATAGGTATAGCCAGAGTAAGTGGGTCAGTGCAGCCTGTGTGGGAGTGAGATTCCTGTCCTGCCTGAAAACCACTTTATGTGGAAAGTCATTTCACAAACTCTTACACCTCAGGGTAAGGGTATGGGTATTCAATCTGCAGACTATCTTAAAAGGCCCAACAATGCCAGTTTCCCCATCCTTAGAGGTGATAGTTGATCCTGTACTTCCTGGGTGTTAAATGGGAAAGTCATTCTCACTCTCTTTTGGTAAAATGGAACAGTATTAGTAACCTGCTTCGAAGAGTATATATGAGAAAGGAGTAAATAATAGAAAAAGTCATATTTAAGTAGATTAATGTGTAAGTTTGCTGCTAGATGATTTTAAAAAAGGGCTATTTTCAAGGTCAGTAACTCAGATATGAACATTGTGGGGTAAAACATCTATTTGGACTGTACTAATTTGGAATTTTGAAAGTTGTACCTGGGCTGAGCTCAAGTTCTTTCATCTCTGAATTGTTTGCAAAGAGATTGGTAATGCTAGCCTGTCTGTTGGATTGTATTTAACCTGTTTGAAAGAGTTGTAGTATGTTATATGGTTGTAGAAGCAATCATCGTGTTCATGAAAGCAGACCCGGAAGGCCGTCTGCTTGGAACCATTGCTAGTCCTCTGATTTCCCAGTCGAGACTAAATGTAAGCCAGCTGCATTTAGTTGAAACTTTCTGCAGGCTTACCTTTCCTTGGTCTGGACTTGGTCCAGATTAGCAAGACTTTGAAGTTTCAACATAAGACAATTTTTCTCTGCTTTAAAAATTATTGGAGGACTGAATTATATCTTAATTGGTATATGTCCAAACAGATGAAATTAAATACAAGTCCAAAAAGTACCGTTTGTCCCAAGAAGGGCCCTCTCCTTACCTAGGGAATGTCTCACTTTGGTTTTTGACACAGTGGGGTGTTATCCTGATGTGTGACCCACTTTTTTGGGGGGGAAAGGGGGAGGAGCAAATGAGGTAATGCCCTTAAACATTTAAAGTATTCACAGTGGCACACAGGGTACCATTCAGCAGAGCTATCATCATTGTCATCTACGTTGCTCTGGTGAAATGTTCTGGTACTATTTCTGTTTTTTGTAAAATGGTTTAGAAATGACTAGACTCATTTTCTAGCCCATTGGGAACAGCCTGCCCTGTCCTGTTGATTTCTATTATTTCCTTTTGTTGGCAACAGAATTAGCTATATCCATCTGATGGCACATTTTCGAATGCACACTCAAATCAAAAACCAGACAGCTGCCCTCATTAGCGGATTCCGTTCCATTATCAAACCTGAGTGGATCCGGATGTTCTCAACCCCTGAACTACAGCGTCTCATTTCCGGTGACAATGCTGAGATTGATCTGGAAGATTTAAAGTAAGGAGCAAGTGTGGGGGTGGCGGGGGAGGGGATGGGTTAGGGATGTGAAATTCTTAGGCCTCCTAGAAAGCAAACTGCTTGCTGCCTTGCTGAGTTCCTTTTGGAGAGCTGTTTCAGGAGCCCATCTCCAAATGTACTCCTCCGTGATCACTGGGTGAATTGCTTTGGGATAAAAGTTCAACCACTTGTCTGCATAGAGACTGAGAAGTGGAAGCAGATCTCGAGGACTGCTGGGCCCTCAAGAGTTCTAGGAAATAGTATTGCAGACTCTTCTATCGGCTTCTACTTGGGAGCAGCAGGGTCAGCTCTGGAACTCTCTGTACATTTAACTTCCAGGGACATGGGGTTGTTAAGGCATGAACTCCTGGCTTTAATAGAAGTTAGTGGTGCAACTTGTCTAAATTTTGTGCTTGTCTGTGTCTGTACATGCACCCATCATAATGTGTGGCTGAGCCATTGTCTGGATTGTTTTCAGGAAGCACACGGTATACTACGGTGGTTTCCATGGAAGTCACAGGGTCATTATCTGGCTCTGGGATATTCTGGCCTCCGACTTCACGCCCAACGAGAGAGCCATGTTTCTGAAGGTATTTCATGTGTTACCTATATATGTCTTCATGTGTACATAGATGTTCTCATAAACCCAGAAGGCCAGTTGATATAATAATTTACACTGGAAAAAAAATAAAATTATCAAGAGGACCTCGTATCATCAGCATATCCTGTCCCATAGTCTGGCCTTGCTGGTAGGCTAAGCAGTAACCTGGGAGGGGCTTAATGTGAGACAAGGCTGAGTCTGATAAGCCTGTGAGCCTGCTGCGTACCCTCTCCAGGGACCGGCCTGCACAGGCAGGCATGCTTGTTGGGCTCAGCACTCCATCTGCCCCTTTGCTGGCGCTGACCTTGCTAACATCTCGTTTCTTGCTTTCTTTTTGCTGTAGAAGTAAACAGTATTTATTATCTTAAGAAAATATAGACAGGCAAATTTTTAAACAATCTGTTCCTGCATTGTAGGGTTTAAACAATCTATTCCTACTCTCCAGGGACTACCTCTGTGCACCCTTTATCTCAGTAATGTGAACATGCAACAACACACACGTAGTGTCCCGATAAAACACACACAATCGGGTAGGTGGATATTAAAGTATATTTTTGCAAATAGGGTGGCTGACATTAACCAGGTCTCCTGTACTGGTGTCTTTAAAGTCATAATGTTTAAAATGTTCCTCCATTGCCACTGTGTTGTTTTATGTTACTGATGTCAGCAAAGTGTTTTATAGGACCCTGGATGACACACTTGTCTGTATTATATGTGTATATTTTTATAAAAAATGGAATCATGTCACTGCTACCCACTCTTCTATTTGGTATTTCATCATGAACATTTTGCCATATGCTGGGGGTAAATTTAGGTGCCCTGAAATATTTTTTTTAGACATTTGGGTTTCTAAAATGATCTCATGACCTCAGTTGTTGACACAACATGGACCATATCACCGCCAACTGAAATGGCAGTGGACTCGTTTTTCTTGGTTTGTCATTCTAAGGAGAGTCTGTTCCCATAGAGGAGGTCCTTGCTGTGGTCCACAGATGTGGACACACACTGGCCCTTCCTACAGGTCTTGGGGGACTTGGGGGGGGCAGGTAGAATTGATTCCAGTGGTTGATTCTTAGGTGTGACCCACACCACGGCTCCCCGCACCCTGGCTGCAGGCCCTCAGCTCTTGACTCAGCCCCCTCTCCTGTGCTGCTCTTAGCTTCTCCCGCACCCTCTGTTCTTTGGTGCCCTCACTGCACGTTCTCTAAGGAAGGGTGTCAGTCAGCAGTGATTCCTACTGCCTGCATGGCAGTCCCTCTGGACATCGGTTCCCTGGTGAGGAGTTTACCTTCTTCCTGAATTCTTCAGCCACACACTCTCCACCAGCCCCTGGGTCGACTACCACAAAGGATTGGTCATGTCCATTGGATTTCACATGTTTTAGCCCCCGAGAGCAGTGCCTTCAGGAGAGATGTTCTTGGGCCAAATGCGCTCTCCCTCTGTCACCTGTGCTGCTGGCTGGGTAAGAGTTAATGATACAGTGACTGGAGAAGGCCAAAGAGCACAGCTGACTCTGAGGGGTCCATTTTTGAGGGAGCGCAAGCCCCACTGTCCCCTGACCCCGCCTTGTGTTGCAGTTTGTGACCAGCTGCTCCAGGCCCCCGCTCTTGGGATTCGCCTACCTCAAGCCTCCTTTCTCCATCCGCTGTGTCGAAGTGTCAGATGATCAGGTACCATTGGTTGGGGAAAAGTCGGCCCCTCTCCATTGTCTGCCCACTGTGGGGCAAGCAGCTGGGCTCTTCAGAGCCACATGAGACGGTTCCACAGTTCTCCAGCTGGAGAGTAGTCTGGCCTTGCAGAAGGCACCCATCGACTCAGGCTTCTCTGGGCCTCAGCCCTTTTGGTCCCTTCCTCTTTACTCGAGGGAGTAGTTGGGGGTACTTTTTAGTAGCTGCAGGTCTGGCCAGGGCTCCAGGCTGAGAGGCAGTGTGGGAGAGGGTTGAGGACATGGGCTTATTTAGGGATTGGACTGGCACAGCTCCTTTACCTGCTAGCTACACATCTCGGCAAGCTACTTCATTTCCTCATCTGTAAAGGGAAAACGAATGCCTTAGGGGTTATTGAGGTCATGGGGGGTGGTGCTCAAATAGTATATGTTATTAAAAGTGTCTCCTTCTGCCCCCTTCCCCCCAAAAAACCCGGTAGACTCTGAGTATCGCTGCCTTTCAGGATGCTACAGTCTGGGCTCCAGATTCCTTTTGTGTGACACTAGCCCCCTTACTTAAGGAAGGCTGCCCCAAGTTACAGTCTGCCTGAGCCACAGCACTGGCGAGGTCAGGGAGGAAATGTTAGGCTGCATTCAGAAATGTTTTGGTACCTAAAGTATTTTTACTGTATTCTGGTTCTGAAAATTAGTTAACCAATAATTAGTTAACCAGAGGGCCCCATTTCTGAGTGCTTCCTTAATACAGGATTCTCCTGTGCAAAGCCTGAGGAGTGGGGGACACCTACTGTGTACTCACCACTCAAGGCCAGTTGTCCTCAGTTTGGGGGCTGGCCTCGGGCAGCAGTGTATGCACTCAAGAGCTGAGCCATGCCAGAGCGATGCACCGTACTCTGCTCAGCCTCAGCACCCAGGGGCTGGCCAGGTCCTCTCCCCAGGCCTCCTATTTTGGCACTTGCCCAGGCTCCCATGCCACACCTCCTAACCCCAGGCCGTGTTGTGAGCTTGCAGGACACCGGGGACACCCTGGGCAGCGTCCTCCGGGGCTTCTTCACCATCCGCAAACGGGAGCCAGGGGGCCGTCTGCCCACCTCCTCCACCTGCTTCAACCTGCTCAAGCTGCCCAACTACAGCAAGAAAAGTGTCCTCCGGGAGAAGCTGCGCTACGCCATCAGCATGAACACGGGCTTTGAGCTGTCTTAGCTCCCGGCCCCAGACCCAGCTGCCTGCCTTTATGGATTCCTGGCCTGCCAGGGACCTTCAGCTCCAGAAGGGTGGCATTCCCTTGGGAGCGTGACCATGCCAGGTGACAGCGGCCTCCAGACCCTCTCTATAGCCATGAGACTCCCCTGTGGCCTCAAGAACTTTGGACGCACATGATGACACTACACAAAGCCCTATAGGTGACACTGATGGGAAGAGAGTGTTAGAAGTAAACCTCTAGATTCTGCCAGCATTGCTCCTTTTTTCCTACTTCCCAGTGGCCCGAAGCCCAGGCCTGTGATCGCAGAGGGACTTCTCTTTTTTATAGTTTGGTCTTTTTGTGAGTCTTTTTCTTTCCTTAACTTTCTGAGTGAGCTGTGCATGAACAAGTCCCGAGCACTCCAAGGCTCCAGAGTGGTTTTCTTGATGTGGGCCTGAGTGCATGAAGCCTACTACGCGTGATATGCTCTCCTTCTGTTTCTGAAAACTCTACTCAGGTAAGGCCTTGCCAAGCCTCTATGCACTCAACAAAATCTCTGCCTCCATCCCATCCACAGCAGGCTCTCTCCAGACAGCCAGGCCCACCTGCTCCCCAGGGAAGCAGAGGTGCCTGCTCGGGAGGCCATAGAGCACAGGAAGTTCAGGGCGCTGCTCCTACCTGGAAGCCACGCATTCTACACTCAGTGGGGGAGGGAAGCCGCCTTCCCCACTCAGAGCCTCAGATGCTCTTTGTCCTCCTCTGTTCCCATCTCGTGTATTCACACTGGCATCCTGAGTTGACGAGAAAAAACTTGTTAGCCCTAAGAGCATCTCCATTTCTAGAAGGTCTGGTTGTTACCCAAAGCCCACCGATTCCCAAGGAGCAGCTGCCTTTCTCCTACTTGTTTGCGTCGCTTGTTATCTAGTGAGAAACAAACCTAGCCGAAGGTACCTGACCTGTCTGGGCAGTGGCTGTACTCCATAGATTTTAAAATCCCAAGAAACTTGGATCTTGCGTCCGTCTTGCACAAGACGGACAAGAACCCGGGAGCCCTTTGCACTGATTCAGCTCACGAGGCTGAGGAAACTCATGTATCCTCTGGTTGTTTTTGTTGGTTTTTTTTTTTTTTACTTTGTTTTCTCTTCCAACCCATTGTGCTCCTCTGCCCTCATTCTTCGCTCTCTGCCCTCATTCTTTGCCGTTATCATGAGAACTTTACTCTGGATCCAGGGAGTTGAGACAAAGGCCTTGTTAATGGTCTGTGTTGACAGCCACCCACCCTCGCTCACCTCATCATGCCCCTTGTACTTCCCCACCACCGAGACTGAAGCCAGAATAAAAGCCAGGAGTGCCCGGTCCCTCCTCTGCTCAGTGGAGGGGCTTCGCCCTTCCAGCTCTTTTCCAAGCAGCTTAACACCTTCCAGCAAGAACCTTGATATTGGCAGCAAAGAGGGCAAGGCCTGTCTTCATGGCCTCCATCAGAGGGTTTCTAAGCCGTGTTAGAGCCCCTGGCTTCTGGAGAACAGAGCATGTGTTTTTATTTTATGGAAAGACGGCCAGAAATTTAAAGACAAATGAATTCATTGTTTTAAGATTTGGTAGTAACCTCTGATTGTATGGATTTGCCGCCTTTAAATGCTCAATTCCTTTGAAGATCTCTTTTGAACGTGTATGTGCACTGAGCAGGTCTGTACATTTATGCTGAAGCCTACATAATTGTCAACCTGCACAAAGAAGTTTGATTCCATTTTGATTTTTGTTACCTGATACTCAGCCTGTGTGGGATTGGGGAGAGAGTGGTTTCTAAGCACCAACATCAACTTTGATTTTTTGATGAGGAGGGGTAGTTTGTAATTTCATTTAAATTTTTCTCTTCAACAGCTGGAAATATTGCACTATCTTAAAACACTAAATCTGTACTTTTATAGCTGGTGTTCAGTGACACCTTGATGGCTCTTGATGGCTCTAAAAGTTGGGGTTTTATTGTTTTCATAGATAACTTATGGATTAAAACATGATCCAAAGGCTTTATTAAATTTGTACTTCAGCACACGATGGCCGTGTTTTGCTTTTTATCCCGAGAGGAAGCGCTTTCCAGCCACGTGCCTGGTTAGCTCAAGATGGAGTGGCCAAGGCTTAAGCACATAGGCTCCCACAGTGGAAAGAAGATACAGCGGATAAAACGACAGACATCCAAGTCTCACTGCCTAACCAGAGTTAATAACAGTTGACAGTTTGTCATATTTGCTTCCGATTTTGTTTTAAGAAGTCACACATTTGAGATAAAACTAAAGTCACCTTCTGCACCCGTCCCTCTCAGCCACTTCCCAGAGGCAGCCATGACCCTCTGGATCACATGTTTTACACAGTAACGTATAAAAGCGATAGATGCTTGTGAAAAGAATCCAGACAGTTCAGAAGTGTATGGAGTAAAATTCTACAGCTACGTCTGGGCATATTCGGCTCTTCTCCCTGAGTAATGTGGGGCACACAGTCCTGTCATTCTGTTAAACAAGCCTAGTTTCACACTCAGCAGAAAACGCTGTCCGTTTTTTCCATTCTACCTTGGGTGGCTTGTCCCTGTACCCTGAATTCTGGCTGCCTTCCCTGTCCTTGGGGCACCTGTGGATCAGAACGTAACTCTGGCCGGTGGAAGTGCAGGGACTGAGGAAAGATGTGTTAAAAGCCTGAGAGGCCCCTTGACAACAGTTGGAACCAAGCCTGGGCACCCAAGCGGAATTGGCTTTCTCACATGGAGTGTTTATACCATAAAAGGAAAAAAATAACTGCAGAGTCCCCCAAATACATCAGTAGCCTCCAGTGTGAGACATCTTCACCTCAAAATCTAAAGCCTTATTCTGTGACATTTTGGTTTTTAATTACAAGTTACTACTGCAAAGGGGATGTTTGTCTTTATAACTAGGAAAAATACAATTAAAATGAAGACATTTAATACACTGACAGAACTTGGAAATGCCTAAGAATGTTTAGGTGAAAAACAGTTTGAGAAACACTGGTCTCTACTGTGTTTCTGACTGCAGCAAAGCCATTGCCTACCTTTGTCCTGTTTATTTAGCAGATATCACACTGCTAAGTGTGTGATAGGGTATGGACAGATGGATTATCTCTAAGTGGTTAATTGTGGATCCAGGGCTCCCTTAGGCCTCAGGCTTATTTTCCTGGAACTTCATAAATTGGTAAGAGGGGCTGAAAAACTGGAAAATGGTTCACTCAGTGTACTTTCCAAGAAGCGGAGCAAGGGCCGTGGACTGTGGAGTGCCAGGTTCAAACCCAGTAGCCTCACTTCTGGGCTCTGAGTCGCACAGCGTCGGCCTCTGCAGGTGTTTCCTGAGAGTCTCCATGCCTACTCTAGTGAGAGTTCAATAAATGGGTGAAGTGCACACAGCTCAGTTCCTGGCACCGAATCAGCACGCCGATGTTCTTTCTACATTTCCTTACCTTTCACTTTAAGAACATGGGACTGCCCACGACCTGTTGATCAGGTTTTAGCCAAGTTTCCAGAGTAGCTTCTGTTGACTCCAACAGTCACAGAAGGGCCATGAGAAATTATACGGCGAATGGTCATCTGTGAGCCCTGTGGAACTTATGTGCCCTACAACCTATACCTATCACTCCCTCTCCGT